AAAACACATTAAATATTAGTTGTGTGATGTGTTATACGACAACAAAAAATAAAATAAACGGAAATTCATATGTCATTGAATATAGACTTTAAAAATTATAATAAAAAAAATAATTTTTAAATATTATATAAATTTTTATTGTCACATCCATTAGCATCACATCTATAGCCTAAAGATATAATTTCTACCACTTTTTTAAATAGGAAAAATAAAATACTTTTTATATGTATATACAGTTTATATTAATAAATTTTTATCTACTTTTATTTTGTTTTTTTTCTATAATATAACTTTTATGGGCAAAAAATATCATTAAAAAGTGAAATTTAACGGTAAAAAATTAAAATATATTTTTTATATATAATAATTATTATAATAAAAATTCTGTAAAGTATTTTTAGCAACTTTTATATTATATATGGATTTTTATTTGATATAATTATAATAACTTATTATATTTCAAAAATAGTTATTGTCAAACATATTTTAACAAATGCAACTATTCAAACAAAAATTATTAGTATTTATATAAAGTATCAATATAAACTATAATATTATTTATAAATATTAAAACCACTGCCATCAAAAAAAAATCAATGCTAAAAATATGTTAAACCAATAATTTGTAATTTAGGTAGAGATTTACAACAACAGTATAACAACAGGCAATCCATACAATTATTGCATTATTGCATGACATTTGTGTGTTTTTGAGAGAGAGAGAGAGAGAGAGAGAGAGAGAGAGAAAAAGAAAGAGATAAAATAAAAACTTTCATATAAATGGTAAAACTTGTGTGAAAATAGCAGTACTTGAAATAGTATTAAATATTACTGTAAATATACCCATAGTTTGATAATATCCAAACATCACACACACACACACACACACACACACACACACACACACACACACACACACACACACACATCAAACACATCATCCAAACTAATCGACATTTTTATAATGTCAGCACAAAACACATATACATAGCTATCAAATGGTGTGGTTGACTTTTTTTAAGCCCTAACTTTTTTTATGGATGATATTTAATATTACGATATGACTATTTTGTATATATTGATATATATATGGATAGTATATGATATATAAACCATCAGAAATACTGGAAAATCGATTGCAAACATTGCTAATAATTTTTTCTCGATATCTCTAAGTATTTATACAGCAAAAAAAACAGATGAAAACAACATATCATAAAATTTTTTTTATATATGTTTATTATCGGTACCAAAAAAAGAGAGATTATTAGTTTCTCTCTTTCTTTCTCTTATTTTTTATCATATTATAGACTGTAAGCCAAACTAAATATTAATTACTGCATTAAAAAACACATAAGTAATAGTATTAAGAGGATCATCACATTAGGACATTATATATATCACTAGAAGAAAAATATCAACTAATATTTGTAAATATAATGATATAATGTATTGAAGAAAAAGAGAGAGAGAGAGAGAGAGAGAGAGAGAGAGTAAAGAGTACTCATCATATTATGTATCAAATAAATGTTGTTATAATTATGTTTGTAGATATAATATACAGTATATATTAATATTATCATATAAAAGTAATAGAGAATAGAGATAAATATATAAAAATATAAATATAGAAAAAATATATTAATGAATATATATATATATTATACATATTATATATATTATATTATACTCTATTATATTATATTATTTTATACTCTATTATATTATATTATATATTTATTTATTTTTGCTATAAATATATAGATATATCAATATATATATATATATATATATATAATCAGTAATAACTAACATAAATATTTACGACACCCATGATATGAGCTACACTAATAATATATTATATAAATTATATAAAATGCGGATAATATATGGGGAAAAATATAAAAATATAATAATCTTTTTTTTTTGAAAATTATAGTGATTTTTGTTTTGACAATATTTTCTTAGGTATATATATATAATAGACTATAACTAAAAACAAAAACCACTACAACAACAAAAAAAAACAAAATAAAATAATACATATCTATAGATATTTTATACATATATATAAAAAAATTTAATATATATATATATATATAATACAAAAGACTCGGAAAAATATATGAACAAATTCACTGTTAGTTTTTTTTTGTATATAAATAATATTTTTTAGCTTTATTTATTTATATATATATCTAAATATTTATGTATATATATATATATATATATATATATATATATATAGTATATATATAGTATATATTAAAATATATAATGCTTTTGTATTAGAGAAGATATTATCATAAATTATATAATAACAAAACAAAAGTAAAATAAAAATAATACTATAAAGACATATAAAAATGCTAAAAAATTTAGTTTTAGTCGTATAAATCTTCAGTTATTGTTATATAATACTATACAAAATATTTTGGGTATTTTATTTGTCAGATTTATTTTTATTTATATATTATTTTTATGTTTAGTACTGTAAACACAGGTTTTCATACTATCATTGTATTAATGAATTATTTGTATTAGTATTTTTTTGAAAAAAATAATAATTTAATAATAATCTCAATAATGTACAATATATACATATTTTATAATATAATGATATCAGTATTACAGTATTTAAATATTATATAAAGACATACAAAAAAAACTTTTATCTATTTATTGTATATTTTATTCATATTCAATACAAATTATAAATGCGTTTAAATGTTTGAATAAAATCTAAATAAATCATAGATTCCAAAAAAATTATTAAAAAAATTATTTTTTTAAATAAATAATTAAATTTTTAATACTATAATATTAATTATTATAAAGTTACTCACTACCAACTTTTACACATACACTTAAAAAATCATTTAATATTATTGGTGTCATAATAAACTTAAGTTAAGTACTGATAATATTAAAAAAAATAAGACAGTTATAATTGCCATCACAACATATTTATTATATTTATAATATAACTATTGTATATAATAAGTATTTTATATATCTATTATCTTATAAAAAAAATTATTTTAAATAAAACAAAACTAAGATAAAAATAGAAATGATTTTAGATTCAGCGATCAAAAAAAATATATATATATAAATAAGTGTATATAAGTTATATATATACAGTATCGTACTAATATATATAGACTTATCATTTAAATCACAATAAGATTTTCCACTTGAAAACATTTCAATATAAATTTAATACTATTTTTAAAATACAATTATTTTATAGTTTATACTTTTTGATAAAAAAAATTCTCTGTCAAATATGAAAATAATATTTAAAACTAATACTACTTTATAGTTAATTTTATGTGTTATTGATAATTTATTATTATTATTACTTATAATCTCTGTTTTTACTAAAAATATATATAATTATTTTTATTTTTACAAAAATATGATTAAATTTTTAAATTAGAATATTATATAAAAAGATATACAGTATATAATTTAATCTATTAATATATATATATATATATTAATATTATTTATTTATTTTTCAATTTTAAGTTCAAATTCTTGATATATTTACTTACATTTGTTTTTTTAAACTTACAGTTTATTTTAATACAGTATACTTTATTGTATATACATTTTTGAAACAATGTCTTAACTAGAATAAAATAAAGTATTTTTTTACAATTTTATGATTTTATTAAATAATATATATATAAAAAAATAATAAAATATTTAAGTAACTTAGCATTAGTACTAAAGTATAATATAATATATATATATACAATATTTATAAATATCTAAAATATTTTTAAAAAGTAATAGTTTATATGTGTTTTTTGGTAGTGAATGTTATTAATTTTTGTTTAGAGGCAATAAATATTTTATGTTTGAATTAAAATTTCAATTTTAGTTCATAAAAATTCTATATGTTTTTAAAAAATAAAAAATAAAATATATTTTGGCTTTTGATTTATACTAAAGTAACTAAAAAAACAAAACAAAACAAATATTACATTTGAATATTGTATAGTAGATACCATTTATGTATGTATTTTCTATTATAATGTCTAAAAAGTTTGAAACTACTTTTATGAAATAAAATACTAAAATAATAATAATAAAATAAGTAGAATTAAATTTTTTAAATATAAAATTTATAATATTTAACAAAATATTTTTATTTAAAGAAAAATAGTAAATGTTATATAAAATATTTATAATTTTATCTGATCCTAACAATAAAGAGGATTAAATTTGATTGCCTTAACGAGTATTTGTCTGAAAATGCTGTATAAATTGTTGTAAATTATTAAATAACAAAATAAAATAAACATATATTACACAATACACACACACTAACACACAACTGACTAAACATTTTGATTAAATCATATTTTTTGTGTAAACATTAATGTTTTGTAAATATAGGAAAACATTAATATAATAATAGAGAAAATAAAGAGAGAGAGAAAAAAATCATTACATTTTTCTCTTGTTATATACTTAATGACAACCAATAATAAAAAATAAAATAAAGCAATGAAACTAAAGGTTATATCATGTAAATCCTCTTATGCTGTATACAGTATAATGTATATTATATGATATAAACAGTACATCATATATATATATATACAGTATATATTGGTAAAATATCATGAAATAAAAAGGTAAACACAGGATATATGTATAATAATAATAATATATATTTCATAAATATTTTTGATGCCTTTTTTAATATTTGTTTAAAAAATTCTGCAAACTATAGAAGTTTGGCAAACAATGGATGAAATTTTTTTTAGGTGTTGTTATCGATAGGAAATAGAAAAAATATTTAGTCTCAAAAAATACAGTAAAAATGCATTGAAAATACTACTTTAAAGTTTATTTACTTATAGTTTTCGTTTTTGATTATAATTTTTTTTAGATGAAAAAATACCAAGAATTTTGCAGAATATTATTCTGTTATGTATTTAATAATAATCTGAATTTTATTTATTTTTTTAGAAATAGAAAAACTGTTTGTTTGCATTACTGTTTATTTTTAAAAATATTTTCATATTTGTTTTGCTATCATATATTTAGTCTTAAAATTTTTTCATTTTTTAAAAAAATAATTTTAATAGTCTATAAATATCAATAGTATATGTAATTTTTATCTATAAAATAATAAACTCAAATATCAGTAACTAAATCGCCGTTAAAATTGTGAACCCATTGCCGATATAAATTGGGATCAATTTGCCGATAATGTTGTTTAATCCAATCGCCAATAATCTGGATCTCCTGATTACGGGCCGCCTTCAGCTCTGGCGGATCATTCGGACCTTCCGATCGCAGATCTTCGTGATGACAGGCATTCGGTATCAAAATGGCCGGCAATGACGGCGCCACTGTCTTGAGTACACCGCCGACACTCCACGGGTCGCGTGATCCCTGACTGAATATGATGTTAGTGGCGGCTCCGATATGTTTACCGCCAAACAATATAATAGCCTTTTCCTTATCGGACGGAACACCATATGTTTTACGGCATCCATCAGAAAATTCGGTCAAATTCCATGGTCTATCCCAAAACATATCCGTCTGGCCATTGGCACAGACAGGTAACACCATTTCAGTACAGGCCTGAAAATTCCAGGCATCGGTTCCCAAATCCTGTGCCTGTAGACTGATATCATTGCATTTGGTTTTGCCGGTATAGTTATAGTAAATGGATGCGCCTCTATAGATGTCCTCAAGCAATAGCCGATCGGTTTTGGTCGGATCGGTCAACAGTTTGCACACTTCGCGTATGGGATAAGCGGGCAATGGTTGCAAAAATGATGCCGGATTTGGGTAGTCAATCATTGCCAGACTTTCCCATGTATTTGATAGCCAGCTAACAAAGTCCTCTTTCTGTGTTTCCTCCAATGGCTTACACATGACAAACGTTTTGGACAACCATTTGCGACCGTCAACCGTATCCAACAGTCGGCGTACCGCTGGCCACGACTTGCGTATGCTTTCATAGCAATTGACCGAATAGTCTTTGAAATCTTTGCTAACAATATCAAAGTAACCGTTACAGTCGTAAATGCCGGGAAACTGGAGTATCGGTGCCGATGCAGCCAACGCACCGACAGTCAGATGCGGGTATTTCATGCGAAACCATGCGGCCAGCATACCGCCATAACTGCCGCCAAACGTTACCACTGGACTGTTGGCCGCTTTTGGTTCAGTGTCATTAATAAACTCCAATAACTCGGCAAAATCGGCCAACGCTTGTTCAGTGGTCAGATAGCCGAGATGTTGGAGATTGCGATCAAGTTTGCCAAACGGTATAGACTTGCCATAGTATCGGTGTTCGGCAAACAATACCATTGCCCGAAAACGGCGGGCATTTTCCCACATAAAACCCGTATTGTTGGCAAACATAAAAATGTCGCCCTCGTTGCCGGCATAGAAAAATATGGGACAACCATCGCACCAGTGGTCAGTCGACACAATATAACGTTGTTTGAATCGTTGGGTTTCTACATAATTAAAATGGTCTAACTTTTGGTCATACCATTTAATTGAAAAATTGGCCGGAATTGGTGTATAATTATCGGCATAATTATTATTATTATTATTATTGAAGTTTTGGTAATTTTTGATAGCGGGTCGTAAACTAAATGACCCCTTAATACTGCTACTAATAATAATAATAATGCAAATCAATGGAAACAATGTATTTATCAAAAAATTGGATTTCATTTTTATTTTAAATATTTTTATAACCAAAACGAACGAAACACTTAACTAATAAAAACGGTTTTTTTAATTATGGTTTCCACTGGTATTCAAGTTTTATTATTTTATCAAATATTTATATATATATATAAAGTTATTCAGAGATACAAAAATAAAAATATTTATATAATGTAATGTATTTTTCTTATCTTAATATATATAAGTACTGTATTAATAATTTGTGATTAAGTAAAATCAATAATAAAATATTAATAGATAAAATATTTTCGCACTTTCAATAAATTATGTATTTGAAAAATTTATATATATATATATATATATATATATATGTTAATACAATATATTTATATATTAAAATTAATAATTTATACTAATACAATTTATCATACAATTTTTAAAAAATGCTAATTACTGTATAAAAAATTTTTAAAAATTATAATATCTTTCATGATTTATCAATATATTATATATATATACTAGTTTAGTGTATGTGTGTAAAGTTATTGATTTTAATATCAGCAAATTGTAATCAATATATATATATATATAATTTAAATATTTTAAAATAATATATTGAATATTTATTGGTAATGAGTTTACAGTTTTTTTATAGATAAATGACTAACAGATAACTAATGTTTTTAAAAAAGATATTCAAAACAATTTATAAGTCATTGTGCAAAATAAATGCAATATTATATGGCATTGATTAGACATTATTTTTCATACAATAGTCAATTGCATTGATTTAATAAAAATTCATTAAAATTTTTGTCCTATGATTTTCACGCATTAAATACACTATATATTATGTATAATAGCAAAATATAGCAAAATTATTAGACAAAAGTTTATTGATTGTATTATTATTAGTAACACACATATAAATAACAATACATGCAATCAATACATGACCACCAAAAAGTTAAACATCAAAACTATATAATTAAATTGTTTGATGATTACCCTTATTATTTGACTCTATCTATGTATCTATTTATCTATATATTTCTGTGTGTATGTGTGTTGTATTAATTATATATACAGCAAGTTATATATATATATTGTATATACACTACAAGTACAAACACATGAGAAAATTCAATTTGAATTAAGTTGTATTTGTGTTTGAAGTGGTTTTGTCGGTGGCTATCTGTTTGAGGTCCACACACACACACACACACACACACACACACACACATACACACACACAACAAAAGTCTGGGTATTTATTCATATGATAAACACAATCATTACATATACTATAGTATATAATACAGTATATATAGACTGTTATATACAGTCTAAGTGTTGTTATCTGACAATTAAATAGTGGACCCAAACACTACTTTGTATAAGCATTGTTAGAGAGAGAGAGAGAGAGAGAGAAAGAGAGCACACAATTGGGATGACATCTCAAACTTAATTATTTACATTTGACGGCATAATGCAGATCACGTCGACTGCATTACCCGACAATCTGTGCCCAAAACTCTTGCTGTTAGGTCTTTCCAATCCCTCCTTTCCCTTATCTTTAACTAAACTGTAACTCTCTCTCTCTCTCTCTCTCTCTCTCTCTCTCTCTCTCTCTCTCTCACTCTCTCTCTCTCACTCCCACTCTCTTTCAGTGTCACCACTCACTACTGAAAGACGACACAATCACTTCATTTCTTTACTCAACAACAAAACAAAAACACTTACAAAACATTGTTACTGAAAGTGACTGAAATAGAAATAAATAAATAAAGAAACAAAACATATATACACACAGAGAAAAAAAATCTAAAACAACTAAACATTTTCGACACACAAACAACAGTTATATATATATATATATATATATATATATATAGTATATAGTAATCTCTATCTTTCTCTCTCAAGTTTTTCATCTTTATCTCCCTCTTGATTAGAGATCACACACACACACACACACACACACACACACACACACACACACACACACACACACACACACACATACATACACACACACATACATACACACACATACATACACATACACATACACATACACATACATACACACACATACATACACACACACATACATACACACACATACATACACACACACACACATACATACACACACACATACATACACACACACACATACATACACACACACATACATACACACACATACATACACACACACATACATACACACACATACATACACACACACACACATACATACACACACACATACATACACACACACACATACATACACACACACATACATACACACACACAACCATTATTTTCAGTTGTGATTGAAAACTCACTGATATGTCAATATAAAGTGTATAATACAAAACACAAGTAGAGTAGTAGTCTTCAACACACATATATATATAAGTCTATAGTATAAGTCGTGTTATATATATATATTTTTTTGTTTTAAAAAACAATATCAAAGGGACAGAAATGTTTAGACACATAGTTTTGTTGTTTGATATTAAATAAGTAGAGAGAAAATAAAACACAATAAAAGAAAAGAAAAAAAAGTTTGGCTTAAATTGAGATCGGATTTGTTTAGACAACAAAAACTACTCTTTTTTAAGTTGTCTTAAGACAGCAACACATACTACTGTGTCAAAGACTACTGACTGACTAACTGACTGTCCGTGACTTTAATATCAGTGTTTTATAAGTTGTTTTGTTTTATTATTATTATAATAATAATAATGTCATATGTTTTAGTAGTGTATGTTTCTTGAAAAAAAATAAAGTCTAACAAATTTTTTTTGCTGTTTCTTTAGCTTAAATACAAACACACAATAATTGTTTTACCAATAGTTAGTTGTTTGGCGGATGATTACAACAATAGGACTCTTATGTATAAAAATGTGTTCAACAAAAAAATATATATTAAATAATATTATAAATATTGTCGGATACTTAGTATGCATGTATTATTGTCAATAGGAATATTCTGTATATATATATATATCAATATATTTATATAGTAAACAATAGACAAAAAAATTATTTATATAAATACAAAAATAGAAATAAATGTGTGAATATATGATATTATTTTTATTTTTAGAATATTTGTTAAAATTAAACCATAAAAAATATTTACAATTTTTTGTTGTTAATGTATTGGTATTACATTCACACAGACAATTATTGAATTAATACTAGTGGCAAACTAGTGATGTTAACTTTCAATATTGAACATATTGTGTGTGTTTGACAATTAAATAAAATTTGTTTATATATATATATTTAAAAATAAATAAATATGTTATTGACTAAGATTATTGAAAAAACTTAAAATTAATTTAATCTATAAATTAAAAATTTATTTATTTAATTAATTTAGTAGAATAAGTTAAACCAAACAATAATATTAACAACAATTAACATCACTACAAATATATATATAAATTTTGATAACATTATAAGTGTTGTCTAAACAAATATTATTTAAGTTTATTATTGTATTTTGCATACATTATTGTCAGTTATTCATTCAGTTATTCATTCATTCATTTATTTAATATTATTATTATTGAGTGAAAAAATAATTATAATATATTATTATGTTTTCGTTTGTCATAATTTAGCATTAAAATAAATGATCAAATATTTGTATATCAAGTGTGTGTGTATTTGTATATATATCATTAATTATTTTTATAGATATTATCATATTTACTTAAATAAAATATATTTTATATGATACAAAAAAAATTGCATTAAAATTATTATAATTAAGTTGAATATAATCAAAATAGTAACTTTTATTTTTAAGTTAATTTATTTGCAACTAATTATATTTGTAATAATCATAATATATTGATGTATTGATGATATATAAGCATAGATGTAATTAAAAATTATTTTATATACATGTTTTTTTTATAATATTTAATTAACATATAAATTAAAAACATGTTTGAAATGTTAATATAGAGAATTTTTGACAAAACTTTTAATAAATTTATTTGAATAATATTAATTAATTACTTTTCTTATTAAAAATTTTATTGATTTAAACAAATATTAAACTTTATATATAAATATATATATATACTGTATATAATGTACAGTATAAAAATGAATAGCAAAATAAAATTGTTAAATAATAATATTTCTTAGTTAAATATATTTTTATAATAAAAAAATTATTACTAAATTTGCACGTTTTAAACAAATAAGTCAATTGTTAAGTACCGACTCATAAATTTATAATATTTATATATATATATTGAATATAATAATGAAAATAATGTCTAAGTCAACACATTTTCCACTATATTATAACTCAATCATAAATATGCAATTTTTTTGCTGCTATTACTACACTTTTATATAATACTTTGTATTTGCTTTTTAAGTTTTATGATTACTATTACAATATTTATTAAAAGTGTTTTTAACAAAAAATATATATTCATCTTAATATTTGTGTTTTATTATAAATAATATAACAAATAAATAACTTATTAAATATTCTCCGTTCTGTTTATCAATGATTTAAATTTTTAATTAAATTTATAAAAATTTTGCAATTCATTAATAAATAATAATTTTTAATGTAAATATTGTACTTACTGTTTATTTACTAAGTTATATTAATAAAATTGATTTATATATAATATATTATGTATATATTTAATAAATGTTATAAAATATTAAATTTTAAATTAAGTTTTTAGATACATAAATGTTTTAAATTTAACTTTATTATAATTAAAATATAATTAAATTGTTAAATAATTTAATATTTTTTAAATATTCATTTTATAATGCTAATATTATTCTGGAAATTTGATAATATAATACTTTAATATTATATGTTATATCTAATAATATATTATGTAATGCTAATACTATATTAATAATAATACTAATATTTTTCATTAATGTATTAATAAGTATCAAATCTTTTAGTTATTTTATTAAACCTTTAGATTAATAATAATAATAATAATTTTGATATACTGGTAATAAAATATTATATAAATACTATATTTATTAATACTTTATCTATCTATTTAAGAGATTTAAACCATATTGCTATTAGAAAAAATATTTTATT